TAAAATTGATTTTAAAAATATATTTATATGTTGAGATTTTTAAATTAAATTTTATAAAAATAAATATTAGCTAATTTTTAAATATCTAATAATTTTAAAAATTAATATTAAATAATATTTAATAATTTTAAAAATATCTTTGAATATTCAATAATTAAAAACATGAAGAATAAGAGATAAGATAAAATATATAAGTGAAATAAGAAGAAAAAAATATGAGAAATTTCAAATTCTTACTCTTTTGGGAGAATTTGAAATTCTACTATTTCAAGGAATTTCAAGGAATTTTACAAATGCTTAAATTTTAAATTCCTTATAAATTTTTCATCCAAACAATGTATTTCACCTCAAAGAATTTGAAATTCTTCAAATAAATAAATTACTCCATTTAAATTCTCAATCCAAACATACTATTAAGGTATAATTTCACTAGCTTTCACACTTTATTCCGACAAATCTTGGATCTAAAAAAGTTAGGGGCACAACGTCGAAATGCTAAAACCTACATGCATCCTTGGTCTCATGTGTAAAGACGAATAACGGTTGGAAAAGTACAAAAAAAAATGATAGATTGAATTTGTTTGTTTGTTTTTTTATTATCTAATTATATTATTAATACATTTTGAATCTATCAATTTTGTTTATGACTAATTTATATATTGATCACTTTTAATAAAATTTTTTTCTAACTTATTTTTTTTCTTCTATTTACAAGATTCAAACATGAGATCTTATTTAAAAAGGTCAAATTTAGTCGTATTTAAATTAATGACTTATTAATTAGTTAAATTTACTTATTTAAAAAGTAATAAATATTAAATTTTTTTTTTCCAAATACTTAATTAACATTTATTATTAATTTTCTATCTTATTACATCACCAATAGTACTTATATTATTATTTTTAATTAAATGACCTTTTTAATGGTTATTAGTCTCGCAATACAAAGAGGTTCAGTTTCTTTGCACAAGTTGGTGAAATTCATATATCGTAAATTTAAAGACCCCAAAAACAAACCGAGGAGCTTGGTAAGCCACAAAAACCAAGCAACCTATACCAAACATAGTCCGAGGAACACGAACTAGCATGCAAGTGTTCAACAATTATAGCATTACATTACAGGTTCCCTATTGTGTCTCCAACATTACTATAAAATGAAGGGGAAACAAGGACAATGGTTGCTGTCTCATATTGGGGTAGCTTACACTTATAACTTTAAGCACCTCTCTATAGTGCTATCTGGCTTCTTCGTTCACAGTTTCTTTCTACCTGCTTATGGGTAGATAGAGGCCTTAGACCGAACAAAGAAGACAGATAAAAAAAATTTAAAAAAAAAAATAAGGAAGAAAGAAGCCAAATATTTAAGAGCTTCTTTCTTTCATCATGGCTTCTATCACATTTGAGGAACTCAAGAATGAAAATATAGATCTCGTGAGTATCTATACTAATAATAATTTTTTTCTCTTTTAGGATCCACTTTTATGTTTCGCATTTTATCCTTAATAACATACCCCTAATACTTTTTTTTTTCACTAGTAATAATAATAATAATAGTAATAATTATAATACTAACATAAATACTTAACAATAACAAATACCATAATTTATTTGATTTACATTGTCATTGATTATATATGTAGGAAAAAATTCCCGTTGAAGAGGTCTTTGAAAAACTAAAATGTACGAGAGAGGGTCTAACATCCGCAGAAGGAGAGAAGAGGCTCCAAAGTTTTGGTCCCAACAAATTAGAAGAGAAAACGGAGAGCAAGTTCCTAAAGTTCTTGGGTTTTATGTGGAATCCATTATCATGGGTTATGGAGTCTGCAGCTATCATGGCCATTGTATTGGCTAACGGAGGGGTAATTACATTTCTCTCATTCTTGTTTCTTGAGGTTTTATTTTTTTGTTATTCTCTAATCATGGAAACAATTGTCATATATGTATGTCGTACCCATGTCAAAAAAGTATTCATGTTGGACACTACAAATATTTGGCACAATTTTTGAGAGGACAACAAATACATGACACATTACTAATTATTTTTTTTTTTTTTTACTGTTATGTCAATATAGTTAATAAATTATTTAATTACTCTTGGATACATGTAGTTTTATAAATTTTTCTATTTAGTCTTTTTTATTAAAAAACTTTATTTTAGTTTTTATGCATTTTTTTTCATTTTATTTTGTATCTTCTATTTTTATTGGGACTAAATAATAAAGTTTATGACATTATAAAAAAAAATAATTAGTACATATAAAGACAAAAATAAAATATTTTTAATTATAAGAAATAAAAAATAAATTTCATGCAACTATAAAGATTAAAAGAATAATTAAACTTAAGTACTATTTTGTATCAGATTTTTCGTATGATAAAACTCATATGTAGTTGCTTATATATTTTTGTTTTTATTCTCCGATCAGAACAAAACTAAAAACACCAAAGGAACTTTTACAGTGACATGTTCACTTTTAAAATATTCTCTTTTGATTTAATTAGATTTTGATTTTATGTTAGTTTTATATTACTTTATAAATTGTATTATAGTCATGTCTCATGTCATAATTTTTAAATCGCATTTTTGTATCATGTCCGTTGTTGTTTGTGTCTGTACTTTCAAGTCTCCAACAAAAATTGTGAAATGTGACAGGGCAAGCCACCGGATTGGCAAGATTTCACTGGTATTGTGGTGCTGCTTATCATCAACTCAACCATCAGTTTCATTGAGGAAAACAATGCAGGCAATGCTGCTGCTGCTTTGATGGCTGGTCTTGCACCCAAATGCAAGGTAACACATTTGTTCAGTCATTTCAAATTTCCAAGTTCATTGGTGTTGGAAGTTGAGATTTTTTCCACTTTCATAGTCTTTGCAATTTTCAATTTGTTTTGGAAGCTTGGTTAAAGGTTTTTTTGTCACAAAAAGCCAACTGCCAGTGAAAAAATGAAATTAGTTTAGTCATAATTTGCTTTTAATTTTATTCAATTAGGAGTTAGTTAATTTTAATATTTAATCACTTGCCGTAACACTTTTAATATCTACAAAATTGAATTCATAATCCAAATATATTATATTAGTTTTTCTCCTTTTTATACATGTCAAATTACAAATTTTATAATTTCAGTCTGTTTTATTTTTGCTTAGCCATATACACTGCTTTTTATGATCTATTTTCAACAATTGGACTGCTACAAACTCATGTACAAACATTCACTAGCTAACAAGAAAAAGAAACAATGTTGTAGGTGCTGAGGGATGGAAAATGGAGTGAGGAAGAAGCAGCAATTTTGGTACCAGGAGATATGATTAGCATCAAGTTGGGAGATATTGTCCCTGCTGATGCCCGTCTCTTGGAAGGAGATCCTCTCAAAATTGACCAATCTGCTCTTACTGGTGAGTCCTTGCCAGTCACAAGGAGCCCCGGTGAGGGAGTCTTCTCTGGTTCCACCTGCAAACAAGGTGAGATTGAGGCTGTTGTCATTGCCACTGGTATTAACACCTTCTTTGGCAAGGCTGCACACCTTGTAGACAGCACCAACAATGTTGGTCACTTCCAAATGGTATCATCATCTTCATCATCATATCATACACACCTTCATGTTTTTATCAAGTCAAGTGGTTTAGATTTAAAAAGGTTTAATTATTCTTGTGGATCCTATAGTTTCATAAACTTTACCTTTGGGTTCTTATAGTTAAACACATTCCATTTTAGTCTATACATATCATTTTTCTTTTTCTTTTAGTTCCTGTCATCTATTGTATAAGTATATGAACTAAAAGATAAAGTTTAATTTTGTTATAATTATAATATTGATATGAAATATTAACTATCAACTAATCTTTGTTGAAAACTGTAAACACATAAAATGGGTATCTCCTGCCAACATAGTCTATTTTATATCCAAGATTAGGATTAGAATCTTAGATAACTTAACCCCGTAAGGGTATACAAAGTGGTTATTCCTCTCTCAATATAGTTTATTTCATATTCAAGGTTAGGAAGTATTTGAATCATGGACAACTTGATTAAGGGGCACAAGCTGCTACCACTTGGGCCTACTAGTGTTGGTAAAAGATAGACAAAATTCATGAAACTATAGCGACTAAAAGAGAATTTAAGCCATTTTTAGTTCTTGTTTCAGCCTGATCCAAGTTTGGACTAATTTTTTTGTTGGCTTGCATTAGGTGTTGACATCCATTGGTAACTTCTGTATCTGCTCCATTGCTGTGGGCATGGTGATTGAGCTCATTGTCATGTATCCCATCCAGCATAGGTCTTATAGGGATGGTATTGATAATTTGTTGGTGCTTCTCATTGGTGGTATCCCAATTGCCATGCCAACTGTTTTGTCTGTGACCATGGCTATTGGGTCTCATCGATTGTCCCAACAAGGAGCCATCACCAAGAGAATGACAGCCATTGAAGAAATGGCAGGGATGGATGTTCTCTGCAGTGACAAAACTGGAACTCTCACCCTTAATAAGCTTACTGTGGACAAGAACTTGATCGAGGTTAGTGACTCTCCTAGAACGTTTTATTTGCACAAAGTATGATATACCACTGATTAACAAGCCTCTTATCTTCAAATTTTCTTAGATGCTTAGTAAGATGCATATAAATATTTTATTCCTATGTTCATTTTAGCATTTTTCTTGTGTGACTGTGATATCTTCATTTAGTTTTATGTCAAAGTTAAATATTAATCTTTAAATTTTGTTTTTTTGACAGCAACCAAAAATCATGTACTTTCCATTGCTATATAATCATGAATACACTGAGGAATTACATGAAAAGTTTGAACATTTTCACAAAACTTTGAATTTCTAGCAAAAAATTGTGAACCACCCTATTGTCTTGTCTACTAGCAAAAACAATGGAAAAAGTATGATGAATGCTTCATAATTAGCTGATCTTGTTAAAAACGAGACCACATTCTGATATATCTTCAAAGTATTACTAAGGAATAGCTAGTGTATTAAAACACAACTTTTGTAGCGAAAATGGTTGTTTAAAACTTTTAAAAAACTATTGCATAACTAATGAACAAATTCTGCATAATAATTATTAAGTTTATGGATTTTAAATACCATAATGACTATTGATATTTCATAAGAATTGGCTTACAATATCATCAAACAAGAGTGCCAAGATGTATTTGCACCAAGAGCTTCCTTGGTTCTAATAATGATTGCTTGCAAATACAGGTGTTCGCCCCCGGCGTGGACAAGGACACCCTTGTCTTATTCTCTGCCAGAGCTTCTAGGACCGAAAATCAGGATGCCATTGATACATCAATTGTGGGAATGTTAAGTGACCCAAAGGAGGTACTATGGTTCACTATTCTATGAAGTCATTGTTTATGTGAGAACATGAAATCAAATATGCAAACTAAGTGGCTTAAAATTGTTTTTTGGTCCTACTGTGATGTCCTAGGCAAGAGCAGGAATCACCGAGGTGCATTTCTTGCCTTTTAATCCTGTGGACAAGCGCACAGCTATTACCTACATTGACAGCAATGGTGACTGGCACAGAAGCAGCAAAGGTGCTCCTGAGGAAGTAAGTCTTTATATGTAACATATAAATTACCATGAAATACTTATTCTTAAAATGTTATCTGATTAACCATTTATATGTATCAGATCATTGCACTTTGTAGCCTCAAGGGAGAGTCACTGAAAAAGGCTCACAAGGTCATTGATGAATTTGCTGACCGTGGTCTGCGTTCCTTGGGTGTTGCTCGCCAGGTGAGTGAAGGGTCTAAATATAAAATGCCATGAATTCCTTTATTACAGGAAATATTAATGCTAGAGACATTCTTCATAACAATTTCTTGCCTATACTTTCTACTAGTGGTGGAAAATCACAAATTTTATTAAGCCCTATTACTAATCTGGAGAGACCCATCAAATGAGAAGCTACACTCAAAAAATTTGTGATTTCCAATACATTTTAGTCGCAACTAAGCATGAGGTTCACAATGAAAATGCTTCCATTTAAAGTCAACTTTTCTCCTTTAAACCATTTTTAAAAAATGCATTCAAAGGACAACCACATCAATGGCCATTTTGAAGGTTTCCTCCCACCAAACAACATCATTAATACTCATTCAACACCATTTGCACACATAACTGTTAAGAAAAACCAGAACAGAGAAGTTGAAACAGAAAATTTGTACAAATTATTAGCACATTTCTAATCCTCAATAAATATACAGTCTAATGGAATCATTAATTCCTCAAACAGAAATAATCCAATTTTTCCAAAACTTAACTTACAGACACTTTTCTATAATTTCGTTCTCTCTCCCAAAGCATCATTTTTACAAATAAATCATATATTCGTAGTCCTAAATATATACAGAATCACATAAGATCAATAATTCTCCAAACAGAAATAATTATAAAATTACTCATAATCCTAAGGGACTCTTCCTCTACCCAATTCCCTCATGTAACTCTACATATAAATAATCC